ATATCTTGAGGGCGAACTGCATTGCGACCACTGATCGCAAGAAATATCCCAGTCAGTTTCTGTAAAGTACGTACATTGAGTGGAATTGTTCAAATCTACGTTCCGTGTTGCGATGGGTTCAACAGTCACTCATTGTTAGGCGGTTTTCCTTGCATCTTATGGAGGAGTGATCCCAGAAAAATATGTCGTAGAAATAAAAATGTACGTGGTTACTTGAAAAACGTGGTAATGCATATATTTACCAAACTTGTCGCCTGTCGTAATTGCCGCTGCGTGCGAAAACGCTCACAAAGATGCAGACGTAGTCTCCCTCGTCGATGCTTCCACGGAAATATTTCCTACCACAATCACCTTCTGTTGGTAGCAAGTCGCCTGGGTACATAAACTGAGCTAATCTAAGACATCTTACTCTGGAATAGGAAATACATTAAGCCTTTTTTGGTGGAGGCCAATATCCTGGCGATGTGTAACGGAATTTAGACAGTACGCACGCAGCACACTATCCCGTTGGCAGTCATCCACAATTAGCTGCTCATAACCCGTCGTCCGTCGGGCCGAAGGACTTCGTCATTATGACGTCAGCACGGGCCACCCCTCGCCTTCCCCTTGTCAGCGTCGCATTACACGCGTCGGGTCGAGTCTCAGTTTTATTCAAGGGCTGCTGCTGGAAGCGGGCCCCGACACTTCTGTTGAAATGTCCGTCTCAGCGTCTAACAATAAATTCTTGCGTCAGCTTGGTTTGGGGAAGAAAGACGATCACGCCGTCTCTCTGATCGTTTTGATCTTCAAGTCCCGTTTCTCGCAGGACACTGCATGATTGTCTCATTGTCCGACCTTCTCATAACACCGCATCAACTTCCGTGTCACGTGGTTGTGGTCGTATCTATTGTCACGTGCTTTACGAAACGGGTCGTCGGTTCCCCATAGAGATCTGAAGGCCCATAACGGGTCGTCGCTTCCCATAGAGATTGAAGAACTCGGCCGCCTCTGATGCTGGGTGGTGTGCTTGTAGACACTGTCGTATGGGGGTAACGTTGACCGAACGTGGTGAGGTGAGATATGTGTTTTTTAAAAAAAACACTGGACTTAGCCCAAAGTTTGAGGCTTCATGACTCGCGAGGCGAGCTGGCACGAGCAGGATCGCTGCTACTCTATAGCATCATACTAGGTAGTTAGAAATATGCAACACGGCTGCTTTTGGTTGAGACGCTGGGATCTTTCGCCCGGAAAAATAAACGTTCCGCGTGTCCGACCACTGAGTCCCGTTGCTTTGTGAGTCGATATTTTCAGCCTCATCACTGGATGCACCATCACAATTCCTACGCTGCCTACGCTTTCAGCACAGGACGCGTCTGACATCGGTGTGTTTGTGTGGAACAGGCTTGCGGAGACGTCGACTTCTTCCCCAACACGGGAAAAACCAGCCGGGCTGTGGCGACTTCGAGGAGAACATGGCCGGACTGATCTACGACCTGGAGACTCTCGACATTAAAGGTGACCTGAGACCTGGAGACCTTGACCTCGGAAGTGGTCAGGGGCCTGGGGCCTTCGACGTTCACGGTGGTCTGGGATCAGGAGACCTTCGACGTTCACGGTTGGTCTGGGATCAGGAGGCCTTCGACTTTTCACGGTGGTCTGGGATCAGGAGGCCTTCGACATTGCTGATGGTCTGGGATCAGATTCAGGAGGTCTTCGACATTGCTGGTTGGTCTGGGATCAGGAGGCATCGTTCGCCGTCACATGTGATCCGGGACCTGGAGTTTTGACTTCACATCCATTCTCTACAAGCCTTGGGAACTTTGGGTGCGGAATCATCCGCGTGTTTATGCAGGCGCGCCTTGGTTGGCAATGGTCATTACTCTTTGGTAATGACCATTGCCAACCTGTGACCAATGAACGCGTCTTGGTTGGCAATAGCACTGGGATCAGTTCAGTCACGTTCGTTTCATGAAGACGATGACGTCTTTCTTATTTCCGTCCGCACGCCACACTCCTGCGACCATCAACACTTGTTGCCGGCAGACATCAAGCGCCTGTTCGGCTGCTCCCACGATCGCGCTCACGAGCTGTTCGAGGCGACGCTGCGCGAGCAGAACTGTCCGTTCGTGAGCTTCAGCTGCCGCGACCACGCCGAGTACGAGTCGGGGGAGTGTCAGCGGCTGGACAAGGCGACCATCGGCCGCATGGGCATGGATAGCGTCCGCTTCAACCTCAGCGGCTCCTACTACCTGGAGACCACGGACGACAAGGGCGCCTTCTGCAGTACGGTTTGACGCGATGACGTATGGAGCTGTGTGACGGCGGTGCAGGGGGTGCGTTCGGCTAGTTCGATAGAAGGGTTGTAAATTCGATATCGGCCATTCCATGATACGTATTGCATTGCTTCAGTTTGTGATGCAATTTTCTGATTTTGATGTTAAAACGGTAAAATGAAAAAGATCATGGTCAACGGGGGAAGGGAAAGCACTTGCTTACTAAATGTAGAAATTGCAAACGCATTTCCGTGACGGTGCAGTCGTATTAGGTGTCGTAAGAATGACGGGACGAATTTTGTTCGTCCTCTTTTGCTCCAAAGTGATGCGTTTTCTTTGCTCTTCGGCTAACTTTTTGCCTTTTCTACTGATGTGGTATTTAATGGCTGGATTTGTTTTCGACACAGAAAGCAAGAGGTTTTAGGAAAAAGGGACACATTTTTAACCGATCTTGCATATTTTACTTCAGGGCAGGCGCTTATAATTTTGGCCACCTCGGGAGCAGTGGCCACATTTCACAAGGGTATAGTTTTATGTAGATGTATTTTTCATACGCTTGTGGGGTAATTACAGCTCCTTCTTAGCCCCCCATGCCCAGCTTCTTAAATGCAGCTCACGTCCATACATATAGCCTCGCATTCTTCCCGTTGAGATAGAGGGGACCTAGAATTTTCTACCTAGTAGGTAGATAGAGGGGACCTAAAATTTTCAGACCCCCCAATTCTGAATCCGAATACGTGTCTAAACTGACCATGAAGCTGTGCCTCTACAGACTACCCCGTTCCCGAACAGCAAGGCCAAACCAGTTTGACAATGCTTTCGGACCAAGCGCCTTGACTCTGCTTAGACTATTGCTGATTAAGCGTGGTTCTGCCGCTAGTGCACTACCTGGAGGTGCTGATCCAGCTCGGGGATGACCAGGAGGAGATACACGGCAACATCATCTTCGTCATCGAGAGTGGCGGCGCGACGTCGGACCTGCTGCCTGGCTGGAGGTGAGTCCCAGTGGAAGTCAGCTGGCGTTTATTGGCGTAACCTTTCTATGACATGGCTGTTATGGCTGTTGTGATGGCTGTTATGTTGGATATTATGGCCGTTATGTGACATGGCTGTTATGAGTTGCTTGTTCCCAAGTACCCAAACGTGTTCGTAAACATCCAACGTTGTTCCCGAATTTAAAAATGGTTTCTCAAATGCAAAAAAAATGCAGCACATGGGGAATATGAGAAGAGTTGCGCCAGCAGACTAGTCATCTACATCACAGTAACTGTCCCTTCATCAGCAAGTTTATAGTCTGGGTTAAGACATTGTAGTCTTATATTGTCAAAATCAAGTCCATTGTAAGCGCCAGTCGAAACATAGCGCCCGAGTGCCTTCGTTAATCCTGGCTCTGCGTCGCCGCAAATTACCATGGATCTGGTACTCATTGCTACGCGCCTGCCCGGTTCGGCCAGTTGGATTCAGCCTCTGCGTATTCACGGATGGCTTTAAACTTAACAGCTTCCGTAAGCGACGTTTTTGAACCTGTCCATGAGTCATGTCGTGAAGGTAAGATGGAAACTCTCAATGTTGCAGACGATGCCAGCAGGTATGAAATGTTTTGCATATAAAAGAGACACAAATGTGCCTATACGTTGCCCCACAAATTGGTGACTATGCGAATTGCGCCCCGGCTGCCTATCCATGACTAGCCCCAGGTTTATGGCAGTGCTGCTCTCGCTGAGTGCAGATGAGCCAAATCGGACATTGACCTTAGGACCACGTAGCACTTCACCATCCAGGTAGCGTGTTTTGTGAGCCCAAAACGACTTGCTGGTTTGTTGCCGCGCTGACGTCAATGGATTAGAAAGACCCAGTGGGGACGCAATTCCCTAAGCACTAGGCCGGTAACGATGCCGCCGACACGCGACTCGCTCCATGCTGCCCGCAGCAGTGGCGGTAGTCGACCTTATAGAGCACCATCGTCTCGTGCACTGCCTCGAGAGTGACTCTCGAATGAACATGGTGAATGTGTCATCTTGCTCATCACAGTTCAGCGCGGCACCTGGATTCGCCAGCACCGCACCATGCGGTCCGGTACCTGGGTCCGACGCCATGCAGTCCAGTACCGGGGTCCAAGGCCATGCGGTCCGGTACCGGGGCCCGAGGTCACCGCACCATGCGGTCCGGTACCGGGGCCCGAGGTCACCGCACCATGCGGTCCGGTACCTGGGTCCGAGGTCACCGCACCATGCGGTCCGGTACCTGGGTCCGAGGTCACCGCACCATGCGGTCCGGTGCCTGGGTCCGCCTCTGACTGTGCCTGGGCCCGCCACTGACTGCCCCTCCCTCCGGCAGTTCGGGAACAGTGATGACCCCGGGAGTTGAGATCCGCACGACGCTCCACTCGCCGGTCGACCCTAGTGACCTGGCTTCGCTCCACTTGACCTGGCACGCGCAGGGCAGCGGCGGCCCGCGGGTCCTGCGGCCGGCGCGGCTGAGGGTGCGCCGTGTGGACGCCGAGCTCCGGGTCACGACTGACGAGCTGTGCGGCGACGCGGCTGAGGTCAGCGATAAGGAGACGGTGGCGTTCCGGCCGTGTGCACCGGCAGGTCACTGAGGGCGCTGTGTTGCCTGGCCAGGTCACTGACAGAGCCATGTGTTAGCTGGACAGGTCACTGACAGAGCCCTGTGTTAGCTGGCCTGGTCACTGACAGAGCCCTGTGTTAGCTGGCCAGGTCACTGACAGAGCCCTGTGTTACCTGGTCAGGTCACTTACAGAGCCCTGTGTTAGCTGGCCTGGTCACTGACAGAGCCATGTGTTAGCTGGACAGGTCACTGACAGAGCCCTGTGTTAGCTGGCCTGGTCACTGACAGAGCCCTATTTTACCTGGCCAGGTCACTTACAGAGCCCTGTGTTAGCTGGCCTGGTCACTGACAGAGCCATGTGTTAGCTGGCCTGGTCACTGACAGAGCCATGTGTTAGCTGGACAGGTCACTGACAGAGCCCTGTGTTAGCTGGCCTGGTCACTGACAGAGCCCTATTTTACCTGGCCAGGTCACTGACAGAGCCCTGTGTTAGCTGGCCAGGTCACTTACAGAGCCCTGTGTTAGCTGGCCAGGTCACCGAGAGGCGCTATGTTCACTACCCGTATCAGCGAGTGGCGTCGTGTCAGCTGATGATGTTTCTCGGAGCGCACTGACTCGGCTTAGTTGGCGGTCAGGGACCATGTGACCTGAAGTATGCATGTGCGCCCGCTGAACGGAGTTTTGCACGCGCAGGACATTGGGAGTATCATCAAAAAGCTCGCCTCGTTGGAGGTCATGTGACGTCACGCGGCGAACCAGGCTTAGTACTTGCCTCTGTTTTTGCGCGTGCTGATGTGGAATAACCGCAGCTTGTCAAGAGTGGTGTGCACTCAGTTGATTCCAAATGTGACTTAAGCCGTTATTGATTCATGTGCTGTGAAGATATGCTATGCAATGCATGCACACCTAAGAAACACACAACCGGTGTTTGTGTTTTTTTTTTAGTGTGAATGTCTAGACTATGAATGTCTAGACTAGAATGTCTAGACTACTGACCTAATCTACTGTATAAACTACTGAAACTGCTAATCACAGCAACATGTAATTTTCAGTGAAACCAATGCATTTGTTAACTAACGCTGCATGCACTGCCGGGAATGTTCACACCAGCTGCTTAATCAGACGTGATTTTTCTACAGCTTTGCTCTGTGAACAAAGTGCAACCCGTGGTATTGGTTTCGTAAGAGAAACGTAAAATAAGCTGCCGGCGTAGATCGACGTCGTGATGCCACCGAACTAAAATTCCGTCGCCCCGCTATCACCGCGAGATGGGACCAGCGCCACCTGACGGGGGGGGGGGGGGGGGCATCACAGCCGTGCGAGCAGAAGCGGGTCCGTTGGTGCCCGCAGGGAGATGAACCCGAGCGTGAATTGTGGATCCACACGTGTGTGGGATGGTTTAGGAACTGATGCTGGCTGTTGGCGACTAGGACAGAGAAACACATGAAGCTGGATGCACGGTGTAGGTGACGGAGCCGGCAGTGTGCGGAAATTGTCACAAATTCGTCGACGTCTTTCGTCGAAATTGCCAGCCCTGGTAAATTCACAACCAGCCAAGTTGCACGCAATAGAATTAATGAATTACCGTGCGAACACTACAGTAATGGTCCTCTTTACCTACCAAACTGTTGTGAAACGTGGCTGTTCGATGCGTTGGTGAGGGTCGTACTTATTAGTTCATAAACGCGTCTCATCGCCTTACCTTAAATCTTGACACTTTGTAAACGAAGGTGATTGGTAAGCAAAAGCCCACATGTCTCCAGTCGCCTCGCTCGTTCACACTGGAATGAGCGAAGCAGCGGAGAGTCACAAGAGGAAGTCACGCAGAGAGTCTTAATGACTGTTTGTGGCTAAATAAAACAGCGCGTTTTTTATTCGGTGTGGTTTAGATAATAGCCTTTCATGAGAGTGATGACCATCCTAGTGCCGTGAAGTGAAGGAGAGTGGATAGCGGTGGGGCAAAACCGCATTCAAGTGCTGGCCATCCGCCAGAGATCGAGCCCGCAGAGGGGACATTTGCCCGGCAGTCAGACGGGGTCTTACTGCAGGGAACACTTACGCCCAATCATCGCTGGTGCGTGTAGCCTGCCTCGGACAAACGGAGCCGCGAGCCTGCAGGGTAAAGCAAGCCAAAGCGGATAGAAGGGTGGATGTTGTGGTGGGAAATGTAATAACAAACTAGGAACCGAGCAAACCGGTGCTAGTATATGCAACCAACGGCAACGGTGGCATCCATAATTTGTAAATACCATAGCTCCCCTGCCAACGAAATCCAAAAACGTAGCTGGGCTAAAAACGTTGATCCCTTGCACTCCAGCCTGGTCAAAAAGTAGGTTTTTGCGTACCTATATATCATGTTTCATATATATATATATATATATATATATATATATATATATATATATATATATATATATATATATATATATATGTATATATATATATATATATATATATATAATACACATATACATATGTGTGTGGTGTGTGTGTGTGTGTGTGTGTGTGTGTGTGTGTGTATACACGTATATGCATATATATTTGCGTACCTATACATAATCGAGCTTACACACGTCAGGTCTATGGCAAAGAGTGGTATGGTTTCTCCTTACTATGCAAAAAAGCACTTCAGAATGGTTGCACATAATGCAGTGCACCCGTCACAGGAACATCCTGTTGGCGCGGTGCGAAGAGCTTTTCTGGCAGCGGCACCGTTGGAAAAAAATAGCGTAGCCTCTGAAGTCACCACAAGAACATGACTGACGTACGTGATAAGCCGGTGAGGGAACAGCGTTTTCCTTTTGCTATCTGATTCTTATCCCCGTCAGACCGGTTAAATATCCCCCCCCCCCCCCCCCCCCCCCAGTGGCACAGCCGGAATCTGCTGTGGTCAACGTGTTCGGTGTGCTTTAACTGAAGAATGTGATTTTGTTGTGATGTAGCTGATAGTGTGATAACGATCAATTCTATCTACTAAATAGTTGATAGCATTTACTTGTGGGCGCTGTACTCGCACATCGGCCGGTTGCCCTACGCCTAACCCAGTGCCAGCTAAAGTTAGTCTTCATAAAATTTTGTCACTCTTAACGTCATACGCGATCAATGTATCGATGCCTAAATAGTCCCAAAGGCAACAAAAGTGTTGTGTAGTCCAAGTTCATGTGAATCATATTGATGAATCATTCCAACGAGTGGCTTATTGTATGATTCGGTGCAATTAAGGCAATAGTATGAGCGCATTGCGCTTATAACGTAAGCGCATTACATACACACAAAGTAGTACATACACACGTACACACAAACATAACATAAGCGCAATAACATAACATAATCAGCGCAAAACATGCCAACAACGCAGCCACATTCGCACGTGACCAATCATCCAGTCGTTCACACAACTTCGTCAAAAACAAAACCACTAACGAAAATTAAAATCGTTAAAGTATGTGGAATACCGGCAAGCAAGCAAAACTTACACAACAGGACCGGCTACATCGTCCACGTTGGCGCGAAGCCCCTTGATCGGAGGCATGAGAGCGGGTGTGAGAGGCGGTGATGGTCAGCAGCAGTTGGCTCCAGGGTGAAGTCGCGCGATACGAAAAAGCCGCGCATGCTACTCACAGCCGTAGAGCTGACAGATCAAGGGCGCCGTCGCTGCCGCCCGGGTGGCACGCTGGCGTACCGCGGCGAGCGGGGGTAAACACGGACCAGATCACCACCGGACCCCGCGAGTCATCGCGGGTCCCGAATTCAGCGAGGCCGTCGCGGTGCGTGACCAGGTGACAGACTCCGCCCAAGTCCAGCGCTTGCACAGTTGTCGGCACTGAATCTCGCCGACGAACATCGGTGGCGATCTTAGCGCCAAAGTATGTTACCAAAGTATATTACCCCTATATTATATTAGTATATAAAGTGTCTGGTTAGGTGTCACATTCCAGCTCCACCCCAGACCGAGAGACAGAGCAGAAGATGAGCGAAATACGAGGCTGGATGAGGAGTTATCGAACCTCGGGCGTAAGGTGGTGAGGAATTTATACAAGCAGGAAATGATGGAGTGGCACTTTTGACAACATGGGAGATGCGCATCGCCCAACAAAAAGGCACTTTCATTGGTAACCTCCAGCATCTTCATGAGGGGCGAAGGGCTGATTTGCATCTAGCAATGTTAAGATGTAAAGAAGAGGTTTCGTTTAGGCCTCTGGAGTGCCGAGAAGAAGAGTCATTTTGGTGGGCTTTATTTTAAGCGAGTTGCATGCCAAGTAGTCTTAACCACCTGGACGGTTTCCTCCTGTTATGTAACTTCAATGCAATGCTTCTTGCCATGCAAGCGGTATCGGAGCTTTCTTTTTGTTGCCGTTGTTACGTCACGGCTACAGCCGGCTGGAGCTCGGCTCCGACGGTTCCGGCTCTTCGCCGGTTGAATACCCTTCGTGAATTGACCCCTGACCTCATCAGGGGTCGATTTGACCCCGTGAGATTTTGTTAAATGAGGTAGATAGAAAGGCCAAATGTGCGAAGTGGCTCAGTTTGTACGTGAACTCACTTGTGTCAAAGTTGAGGTTCCTAGGCCATGGCCTTCGGGTCAAGCAAGTGTCAGTGGCCACGCTTTACGGTATGTTCCTAAAAACCAAATATTGGCCTGGCTCATTCTAGGTGAGTGACCCACTCTGTCCCTTCAAAGTCCATAGAACATTCTTTTGTGGTCCTTGTCATCAACAAATTCGAAATGGGCACCAGAAACTATCCCATAACCCAAGCTTCCAAGTAAAGAACAGGTTAGTTTTGACCTGGGTATGACCTTCGTACCTGACTCTGGGTCATGGAATTCGTTTTAACTCTAAATTAAGCAAGCATTTAAGCAGGCGGGTCCCTGGCCACGTTGACACAGAATCTTAGGAATGTTGCTGGTTGGCATGAAACTTCGGCTAACTGAGCATGCGCGCTGGCCGGCGTTAGCGTACCTTAAGTAGGGCGATGCCTTTAGAAAATGCTAAGCTTTAACTTACTCACATCGTTTCTAGATGTATTTGA